ACGACAACCGACGAGAGAGGTGTCGGTTTCCCTAGCAGAAATAATGGGGGATGGAATTTAATTAAATCACGCCTGATATCGATTGATAGCGATCCCTGGTAGCGGAGGAAGATGACAATTAATATTTCCTTTGTCTGGATGGTGGCATAATGAAGTCCTAATTACCTTGCAACGGCACATTTTCTACAATAACAGCTTTTCATAAGCTCACAATATTGCCAGTTCTTATTCTCACCTACACTGTACCTACATGTAAGATTTTACACATGTTTTGTTCGCTGTCCGCTTCAGCTCATTTCATTCCAACCATGAATACTAGGAGTGGTTGGATTTTATTAGTCTAGATTTACCTGGGTGGATAATACATGAACTAGAAAAGAAATAACCCATAGAAAATGAAATCATCCTGCAATGATAATATTTTTTTAATAATCTCCATTGTATCCATATACTGTACAGCCTTACAGGCAATAGCAGCCTTGAATTTAATGAACAAGTAAAGGATTTGATTTTACATCTAGCAAACTGACATTAAAGAAGAGAAAATGCAATGACATATTGTCCAAAAGATAACTTTGATCAAAATTTAGCCACAAAAGCAATAATGAAATGGGATGCATTATGTTTCAAATGCTCTCTAGCTCTTTAATGTCTTTGAGCATTAATTTAGCAAATAGATTTTTATTTAAAGAATACCAACAGACATCATTATTTGATCCTCTTTGTGCTATTAACAGATTTTGATTGCATTTTGTCAATGCAGGAACAAAGAGGAAAATAATCAAGAAATGTGACCAATTTATAACTACCATAGATTATTTTGATTGGTGCTTTTGTGAATCAATCACAATATTACTAGATTTAGATTTCAGACAAGAATGAACTCGGGGAGAGTGCAGGGTGAAGGTCTTGAAGCGCTTCATAACCCTGCCATAATTTCAAACTGGAGCTCCAGATTTAGCTTTCCTGCCATGTAATGCAATATTCAATGTATTGAAAGAATTCATGAGCAAGGCCCAATATCTACAATATGTCTGCTGCTTAAGTACACAAAGACCCATCCCATTACCAGTACAAACATCGGCCAAGACAAGATGTTTAACCACCTCTGTGACTCAAATTTAGCCTCTTTTTTTTGCTCAAAAACTTCCTGTGAGATTTTAAAAGAAATACAATAACATGTACAGCATGCACATGTACATGTATGGCCAATTGACTATTATTTTAGTTTGTGTATTTCTGACAGATCATTTTCCAGAGTTGTTGAGCACTATGAGATTTTTGTCTACTATTTTCACAGCCTAACCATCCCCCACCACTTCCCCCCCCCCCCCTCCCCTCATTTCAGATCATCTTGTATCTCAAAGAATTCTAGCATATTGTACAAGTATTTCATATTTGCCAGCCAGTAATGTTACAAAATTAAGAAATCCTGGCTACATCAATGATTGTTAGATTGTACCTTACTTAGAACCCTTCCTACCCCTAACATATACATGTATAATCATATAGATGTAGGACCAGATACACGCCCCTTTGTGCAATCTGTCCCTTACCATGCCCCTTTAGCCTGTGATCACTGACGGTCACTAATGAGGGAGAGTGGGGAGGGGTAATTTCAATCAATTTTCTCATTTAGGCATATGCACAGTAGGGGGCTCCAGGATCAAAATTGCAATGAAAACAGAGGCCTGGGCATGGCCGAAAAAAGTGACCGCTTTGGAGTAAATCTTCCCACAAAGTCTTTATTATTATTAAATCTACATGTACAATATTAGAGTAAATAAGGTAAAAATAAAAGACAAATCAGTGGCAAATTTGGGTGGTTTGGAAAATTTGGCAAAGCAATCAGATACTGGTTATTGTTAAATGAAGTACATGTGTACATGCAACTTGCCAGACTTTCTCAATTTGGCAAAATCCGCAGAAATGAAAATATAAGTGATCTACATAAGTGGCCGTTCTTCGAACCATATTAGCAGCATGAAAATTTTAGCAAAATATCTGAATTACTAATGGCCTTTGTTCAAAAAATCATGGGGATATTACACGTACCTCGGAAATCCAATATATTTTACCACATGAAGAATGAATATAATTATATATTCAATGTTTACCAATATTACTATTTGGAATGTCTGAGCCAAGTCATCTAAATCCCTTAGCTTTTCAACATTTTCTTTAATAAATATAATTCAACAGCATTAAATACAATATGTAGGCCTACACTACAGTATTGGTGGGGGTGCAAGAGAAATAATTGTAAGATCACTTGCAGAGAATATATTTTCATCAACTGCATAACAAAGAAAATATATGCCTAAAAAATGTAAAGTAAAACCAACATGCATTCTGATTATATTACTGACTGATGACACTCTGAGCTACATAACATAGGCTGATTACAATTTTAAAAAATGAATTATAACCCAAAAAACACAATGTACAAATGTACAAATGTACTAGCCATCACTGCAAAATTGTGGAAACTAGAAACAAATGCATAGCCTAATTTTTAGACCTGACTCGATTTCAGAAATGAGTTGCAGCCTTCCAAGCTGTTACTATTTGAGTATGGAGAGAGTATGGAGAGAGTATGGAGAGAGTCTTGTTGTGATTTTAGAGCTGGTCATGATAAACTTGCATGGAAATGAAATGTTGGCACTGGGCAGGGCAGAAGCATGAGAAGGAGTGAATTATGATGGTTTGTTGAGAGGAACTGTGAAACTAGACAAGGCATACCCTACATTCCAATTGTGGGTGTCTCTGGTCTAGTGGGGAAAGAGAGAAGGTGAAAGAGAGAAGGTGAAAGAGAGAAGGTGTGAGAGAGAGAGAGAGAGAGAGAGAGAGAGAGAGAGATAAAAGAGAGTGAGAAGAAAAAGAGTCAGAGAGAGAGAAAGAAAGAATCAAAGATAGATCTAGAGAAACAGAAAGAGTCAAAGGGAAAGGGAGAGAGAGAGAGAGATGAATATTGATAGAATGAACAAAGATATACATGGAGGTCTGCATTATCTAAGTATTATTGTATGAGACGGCCCAAACATCCCAGTTCTGCCATTAAAGGCATTAAAAGCTCTCCTAGATTCCTAAATATAACTATTCTATTCTATTACAAATTCTTCACAAATCAAGATTATGAGAACTACCAAGTGATAGTTAACTAATCTTACTGTTTTGACAAAAGGCTCTCCCAATATAACTTGTCTATTCTATCACAAGCTATTACAAGCAGTCATCACAGAAAGAAATGTAAACAAAACAATTCAAACCGTTTCAGTTACAACAAGCACAACAGATTGGAAATTTCTTCAATCAAACGTATCCAATAGAATAATCTTCAAATGAGTTCAATTGGGTTTTCAGATTTGAATTGGGATTAGATCAAATGTCAGTGAATCAGTCAGGCACATCTGGACCATTATTCCCAGGACAATAAGGTGCTTGATAGAATTCAACTAAAATTTGTAACATTACGCTGACTACTGGGCTCCTTGTAGATTCCATCATAATAAGCCCAGGGACCGTTTCAATTGCTCCCTGTAAATCATCATGTCAACTCACCCAAGTCAAAGACATCATTTCTCTTTTTTCCTTTCGGAGCGTGGGAAAAATGATTCTCTACTACTTGAAGGGACAAAACCAAACAAGATCAAAATTCCACATCTGACAGGAAATCACACAATTGTCAGTTTCCTTCAACTTTTCTTGATTTCCTTTTTGTACCCAGCCCAGGATAAGTGCTTAGGACCGAGAGTACTATGATCACTTCATGTGATTTGATATAACAAGCAGTTTCCTGCAGCAAAGTTTTATTGGCCATTCTGGAGGTAGATGAGAGTATCAATGCATCCAGACTACTCCAGACTTCATCGTATAGCCATACGAGTCTTGTATAGCTATACGATAATTCATCCCTAGTCTGAATGTCTATAGCCTAACGCCAATCAAAGCACCGTTTGAAACAAGAGCTTTAATAATAAAGAATCGAGGTCCCATTCTAGTCCGAACACCGTTTTGTACAAACTTTGTATAACTGGGCTGCTCTCATATCAACTAACCTCATCAAAATCGGTTTCTTTACACAACATTTCTTTTTACAACTTTCTTTTCTAGTCTATGCCTGTTCCTTTCGTTATACCGTGGTTCTTTATACAACGTTTCTTTAAGCGAGTTTTATATGAATTTCCTATGGTGTAAACGGGCCATTAGGAGTTTGATTGGTTGTGGCAGATGGGCATACCACACCCTATTGGGTCAGCAACAGCGACATACAGGTGGTAAGGACATAAACATGACCAATAACTTGACCTTTTAAAGATGGAATGGATCCCAAAAAGCAGACAGGGCGTTCTTGAGGGATTACAACAGAGCCAAGGTTCTTATTACTACATTGCAGAATGCAGATGGTCATGGGATTGTTGCTTGTTCAGGTCAAATATGACCAGGGATATGTGATTGTGATGGAGGTGAAACCCAAGGATCTCCATTAAAATAAAATTATATCATAAGTTCATAAACATGTATGGTTTTAGAATAACCCCAAATTTTAGTGTATTTGCAAAGTGCATCTGAAAAGCTTTTGGAAGATTCTGGTGTTTTGATAAAAAATGTCAGAACGTACATGTACAGTACATGCACATACTGTACACATGTACTGTAGGCATATACTGTAGACTTGCACATAATTATTAGGCATGTAAAGGTCTCTCCTACCTACATGTAAATCATTATTTCCAGCTACTTTATGTATAGAATGTTAGAAGTTTCCACAGTTTTTTTGGTTAAATTTTACCCCCCCCCCCCCCCCCATAAAAAAAGAAGATAAGAGCCTCCAAGAAACATGATTTAGGTAGACAGGAGCTGGTCAGGAAGGGGGGGGGTGATCTTATGTGTGTATTTCAGATGGTATAATTTACACTCTCTCCACTACATAGACAATATATATGCAAGTCTACACAAATTCAACCACATAAAATAATGAACAAGAAGTTTAGACTCACCATTATAGGGGTGTCTCCTTCTTGTACCCATTCCTGGAAGACCCTTCAAAACCAATCTTAGCTGCTTGCTTAATCTCAAGAGGTGATAATCCATTTCCATTTGTAATAATCCCTGACTGGTTCAGCATTCCTTGACTAGTGCTTATTCCAGTACCAGTATTCGCCTTCCGCTGAAACTTAGGGTTAGTGCAGATGCCACTGCGTCTGGCACGTGGTTCAGGAGATCCTGGAACACGGTTGTTTTGGGCACCCATCAAGCGCTGGATGTTGATCTGATTGAAGGAATTTGGTAGCGAGGCCTTGCGAGCAAAGGCCTTCATTTGATCAGGTGTCAGATTCACAGGTTGAGAGTTTGAGCGATGATGGGATGAAGTTATCTTCATTTCATTCTGCTGCATGATCACAGATTGCTGGAATGAGTGCTTAGCACCATGTGTAGGAGATGGTTGGTTTTGTCCACAGTAATGGCAGGAACCATTGCTGTCATTCATCTGCTTACGGGATAGGCGTGGGGAGTAATCCTGAGGGGGGTAAGGATGAGAACCATTGGAAGGGTTCTGAAAGGATGTGTTCAGTTCCTGGCTATTGATGCTTCCTAGAGAGCTGGCCCTGTAGAGAGATTGCTGACATTCTTGGTGCTGTTGGATCAGGTGCATGTGACTTTGCTGCTTATGCCAAGGAGATGGGACATCTTGATGATTCTGAAAATGCCCATTTCCCATCTTGGGAGGCTTCTGCTGACTGCTCGTCCGAGGTACAGCACGTCTCGTTGGAGATGGTGAAGCAGACTTGACGTTGTGTACCATGATGTGTTGTGAAGATCCATTGGGTAGGGGATTTGAAGATTTGCGAACCCTCTGAGGAGTTGGCGGTGGCTTCCGCTCATCTGAATTTGTTGGGGAGCTTGGAGCACTTGAGGAGCTCTGGCGTCTAGGGGAGTGCCTTGGAGATGGTTGTGAAGATGCCTCACTAGGAGTTGCTGAGAGCTGTTCCCTCTGTTGATGCATCGATGGTGATGATGAGCGAGAGGATGCATGAGCAGGAGACTGTGCTCTACGGGAAGCGGCACTGGATGCTCCAGACGGATGCCTCCTACTACCATGCTTTGGAGTTCCTTGCAGCTGCTCTGAACTGTGAGCTGTAGTGATGTTTTCAGGTATCGTCTGAAAAGAGCTTGTAGGTGTAATTTTTGTTGGTGTGCCATTTCTCATCAGGGCAGGGTCTGGAGAGCAAGTACGAGGAGAAGGTGCTCGCTTGTGTGATACCATATGCTGTTGTACCTGCTCTGTGAAAGACGTTGCTGTTGATCTGTTTTCTCTCATTCCACTTAGATGTAGGCATGAGTTGTTGGTAGAGTTCGTAAGATTTGATGATGACTTTGTTGAAGGATTTGAAGTGCAAGATTTCCTCTTGTCATAAGTGGAGTCAGGCGAGTTGGAAGGAGAACTACCTTGGAGTAAGGCACCATTAGTTAACACTGATGGCTTATTGTCACTGTTGCTTGATGACAAGGAGCTGCCACTTCTCTTCGACGATGCTCTGCTTGAAGGAGGTGACAGAGGGTTCTGAACACCATAATCTTCCAATAACTTGCTGACTTCCTCGTGTCCACCCTTCAAGGCTACTTTCATTGGAGTACGCCCATGCTGATCAGCATGATTTGGATTAGCACCATACTGGAGTAGGGCTTTGACAACATCAACATGGCCCTCTTGTGCAGCAATGCAAAGTGCAGAGGCTCCTTGATTACATGTGTGGTTGATGTCAGCTCCTCTTTCCAGTAATACCTTTGCCACTGAGACGTGACCTTGCCAGGCTGCTGACTGCAGTACAGACCTGCGTTCCTTATCAACTGCATTTGGATTTGCATTATTTTGAAGGATGAGAGAGACCATCTCCGAGTGACCCTGCCATGATGCAACATGTAGAGCAGTTCTCCCTTCTGTGTCACAAAGCTCTGTGTCAGCACCATTTGCCAGAAAGGACTGAGCCATAGGGAGCTTATTCTCCAAGGCAAGCATGTACATGGTTGATCGTCCTTCAGCATCTCTGTAATTGATTTCAGCACCATGCTCCAGGAATAAGTGCACAAGATCCTGGTGCCCCTCTGATGCAGCAGCACGAAGAGCTGTCCGACCGTCATGAGAGATATGACAAACATTGGCACCATGTAGGAGCAACACCTTTACACCTTCCATATGCCCCTCTTGAGCAGCAAGTACAAGGGGGGTACGGCCATCCCGATCAGCAATGTCCACAGTGACGTGAGGCCCTTGCTCAAGAATGGCAAGGCAGACATCTTGGTGACCCTCATAAGCACACATGTGCAATGGTGTCCAGCCATGGTTATCTTTGTGCATCTCATCTAATCCCCTTTCTAGTAGCATGCGAACAATGTCACAAGTACCTTGTGATGCAGCGATTGATAAGACTGTCCTTCCTTCTCCATCAATTGTGTCTACAGCAGCACCCCAATATAAGAGTGTCCTCACTATCGAGGGATGTCCCATAGAGGCAGCAACGATCAATGCCGTCCTGTTATTGTTGTCAGTATGGTCAACGTCAGCTCCACCTTCTAACAGAAGTTCAACAACAGTTTGGTGACCCTCATAGGCAGCAACCAGGAGTGGAGACATCCCTTCATGGTCCCTATGATCCACAGCAGCACCTTTCTCAATGAGAAGCGTAACAACATCAGTGTGACCCTGGTTAACTGCAATGGACATTGCAGCAACAGATAATGCAGTGCGACCATCAAAGTCTTCATGGTTTATTTCTGCTCCATTGTTAACTAGGTATTCCGCAATGGCACTATGTCCCATGTATGCTGCAGCTATAAGTGCAGTCCTTCCTTCATGATCAGCTTGATTTACGTTTGCACCATTATCAATAAGAGTTTTCACAATATCTGCATGACCACCCCACGCAGCTGCTCTCAATGCAGTTCTTTTTTCATTGTGGTCACTACAGTCCACTACTGCACCCTTGCTGAGAAGTGTTGTAACAACATCTGTATGACCAGCCCAGGCTGCAGAGCGCAGAGGTGTCCAGCCATCATGATCCACATGATCAACCTCAGCATCGTGGCTCAACAACAGAGCAACAGCTTCCACATGTCCATGTCGTGCTGCCAACCCAAGTGCTGTCTGGCCTGTCCTATCAGTCACACCTACATCAGCACCATAGATGAGCAACGACTGCACAACTTCCAGGTTCCCGCTGTAAGCAGCATTGGCAAGAAGTGAGCGACCATTACTATCAACTTGGTTTATGGATGCACCACTATTGATGAGTGAATGCAGGGATTCCTGCTTATCGAGAGCATCTTGGAGAATCAAAGAATTCCTGTCTATATCTACGACTCTGGCACCAGCACTGACTAAGAGTTGTGTGACTTGCTTATCCTTTGGTGACTGAGAGGCTAGGCAATCATAGAGTGGTGTCCCAGCCCAGATAAGCCACAGTGCAAGAGAGCTACTATCAAGAGGTGGAGAAAGCCCTGCTTGGATCAAATTTCTTGCAAAGTCCTGCACCTGCGAAGGAGTCAAATCTGGTGCACTACAGGTATACCTGAGAGCAAGCATGGTGTGGCCTTCAGTGAGACTGCACATGTACTTCTGTGTGCAATACTTGACATCTAGGAGCCATTCAGAAAAGCTATGGTGAAAGAGAAGAATCCTGTTATCCTTGCTTCTCACCAGGATTTTGCACATCATCTTTAGCCTGTCCTGGAACTCCTCTCTTGTAAGGGCAAAGTTGCGAGTCTTTGCACATGCATACAGTTCCAGCTCAGTAAGAGGGCACTGAGCAGCAAGCATCACACCAAGAACTGGCCTTATTTTTGTAAAATGTTTTTTCTGGAATAGACGCTGACACAGCCATAAGTATAGTCCATTTAGAGTTCCTGGAATTTCAGTGATGTCTTGAAGTGAAATGAAGCCATCTGCCACTCCATCTAGGACTTTCTCAAGATACATGATGCAGCCATTACTCTTGATATGCAGTTGATTCAGCATTTCTGCAGTATCCTTACTCAGCTGTGTACGAATTGCCTCCTCATGATCAAGCCTCCTCAGAATGTACTGCTGCACATCCCTTACTACGTGAGACTTGCGTAGGTCATCCAGGCTGAGCTTGCGGAAACCTGTGAACATGCGGGTAACAGTCTTACTCTGACGACGTGCACTGCATAGGAGACAAAGCCAAGGTGGAAAGAGCTCATGGTGATTCGCAAGAAGCTCTGCAATGGTTCTGCTTCCTGCAGGACTGTCTCCTTCCAATACAGGATAAGCCTCATCCACAGAATCCACCAGAATGAAGCAGTTGCGAGAAGGTGGATTTAGAGAACAAAGAGGCACCAATACTCCATTCTTAAATGCCTCATCTGGATTACGTTCACACGCAGCAGGTTCCAGGACAGCTTGCACTCTTGGATCCCTCAGCTTTTCATCATAGCCATGGATGAGAGTCGAGCGTGTGATCATGTTAACCAGGCCCAGAATGAACTTTGACACAGACAGGGACTCTCGATTGTGAGCCTCACAGAAATGATACGCCAGCATCCTCTTTGTAAGACTACGCTGCTTCCCAGCACTGTTTGGCCAAACAATCTCGGAGCAGAGGGCACTCTTTCCACTGCCTGGCCCTCCCATAATAAGTGTTCCACATGTTCTTGAAGCTTGCCTGTTGTCCAGGCCATGAACAAGCTTCTGGAAGGCCCACTCTCGGCAGTAGAACCGCTTTCCTTGGAGCATGCAAGACGTCATTGTGGTCATGTATCCAAGGTCAGCTCCAAAGTTTTGAGATTATCCAAGTTACAAGAATCCTCTCTGTTGATCAGTTTATCTAGTTTGTACCTCTGAGCTCCAATCCCAGTAGATATCCATCTCACCTTTAAGAATTCATGGAACCAGTTGGTACCTGGAAGTGAAAAAATAGAGAAAAATAGATGGTGATATTATTTTTTTGAAACTCATTAACAAGCGCATTAATAGTAATAATAAAATATATTAGATTTTTAAGGCGTAGAATGTGATGTGACTGGGTATGTTGGAGAGGGTCACTATACGAGAAGCAGCATTCAGTAATTTTTGTATTCTGATTTGAACAAAAGAGCATTTCCAAAGTCAAAGCATGGGTAATCTTCTCTGTGGCACTGTTAGGTATTTACTTATTTTATGAAATTCATGTATCAAACACAACTGGAAAAGGAGTAGGCCTACATGTAGAGAAAAATAGATTGATTTTGTTGTTAAAATCAGGGGTTGGCTTTTTCCTCATTTAAAAGAAATCAGATTTTTTGCAGCTACTCCTAGTAACATCAAAAATGCAGGACCGTAAGACTTTAAAAAATCATTGTGAAAATGAAGAATAGAACAAGGAAAGGTCCCCTAGAGCAGCTGACCCATGGGTGGAGTAGGCTATGAGTCACTATGGCAGCATCTAGTTGTTTGCTTTCAAGACTTAGACCTCTTCACAAGCTTACGCAGCACCCTCCCAACCTCTGCTCCCTCTTGTTTTATCTTCACCTATAAGAAGGATTATCCACTGATCTTCTTGAAAGACTTTGTTCTCGAGTCCTTAAAAACCTAGGAAGTTTTTATTGTTTGGTTTCTTTGACCACCTTAGGAGTACATTGAACAGGTAAGGTAAGCCCCCTCCTCCCCTAATCACAAATCTGATTGACACACAACTAAATATGTTCATCCGGGATCCTCCCTACATTTATCTTTGTTGCGGTCGTTGCTATTGCTGCATCATGTGAGCTGGAATATTACAGAAAGGTTATACATGTACATGGCAAAGAAACCACTGCTCACGTTACATGTACATATACATGTACGTGTACATGTATTTGATCTAGACTGGCTCAGGTGAAATATCAAAAAAGTATCAATTCATATCATATACCACAGTTGAACTGTCCCAAACCAACAACAGACTGAACTAAAATTGTATTACCCGATTGATTGAAAATCGTTTGGTTTTGAAGTCCATGTGGAGTTGGTCTGGAGGTGTGACTTTAGAAGTTAAAGTGGTCTTTCATGCAGGAGGGTAACAAATTTCAACTTTTATTAGCAATTGCTACATTACATTGCCTTTTGGTCCTGAACAGAAATTTCACTCACTGTCTAAAATCATATTATTCAATAGCAGCTCTTTATCACTACATACAGTTACAGTTTCTCACGAGATTAAGAGGCAAAATTAAAGAACCCGCTCTGCCCCCATCTATTTTTTTTCCAATGCTGAAACGGCTGATATCCAAAATGTCTCATTACAGATCGCAGAATTTGGTACCAGTACTTCTTTTTTAGAATTGTGTACTTCATAGTGTGCCTATGTTATCCTCAAAATGGAAATTACATGTACCAAACCATCCCTTATTGTTTTGAGCTTGTTAACCTTTTAAGGTGCTTACAATGGGCTTACAATCAGCCTGGAATCAACTCAACCAGTACAAGTAAAGGTAAATCTTCTCTGGGAGATTAATGGATGAGTCAATAACACTCTTTATCCAAAGAACTTGTCTTTCTTGTTTTTGGGCGGTGAAGATTTACAGATCACATGTGCAATACCAGTCGAAATCAGGGAATGGGACAATTAGTATTGTGAATGGAATTCTAATATTCTAAAGTCTGTAATAAATAACTTAACTTTTCACTCAGTCTTCAAGTAAGTAGATACAAATATTCATCCAGCACTAATAATTTAGTCCTTCTTCAAATAACAGATGTATGCATAAATTAATATTTGTAACAATTATAATGAAATGTAGGCCTAGAGACAATATACATGTACCTTCATTCTAAATCATAGACGAATAGGTCTACCCCATTAACTTGTTATATACTATCAAGATTATCTTTCAATCTGTCACAAATTTGGTAGCATAAAGTACCTTTTTGTTTATTTGAACAATAATATTGAGCAACTAGTTATGTGCAAGTATACAGAAGAATGGATAACGGCAATGTGCACCTCTAAATTACTGCTCGAGAACATCTGCAATGTGTTTTCAAGAAAGGGCACCTCAGTAGTGGCCAAATCACTCACACGACGACGCTACTTTACTGCTATAAAACATCTGCAATGCTTTTTGTCTCCAAAATAGGCACCTCAGTAGTGGCCAAATGTCTCTACATTTATACTGCTCGAGAACATCTGCAATGCTTTTTTTTTCAAGAAAAAGGCACAATCTCTGTACTGGCCAAAACACTCTACATAACTGCTAGAGAACATCTGCATTGCTTTTTTTTCAAGAAAAGGCAGTCTCAGTAGTGGTCGAACGTCTCATGCCCAATTCCTTGATGATAATGAGCTAGGCATGAGTAACGGCTGTCGTCAAGAAGAGAGCATCCTGCTCTGAATAATTCAACGAGGACAACACACCGACGACGGCTGCAGTCCTAAGTTGAATGACTAGAGAGAGAGCCCTTAGTTCTAGCGAGGCTCCCCAGCCAGCCACGCTGAAGGAAGGATGGATAGGATGGGAGATGGGATGTGATAGAAAGGAGAAAGGAATGTTACATGAATCATTTCAGGATGCTATCAGGTTGCAGTCATGATGCAGCATATTCTGAATCGACTTGCATTGATCAAGTAAGGTAAACTAAGGTGGAATAGTGGAATAGCAGTCCATCGACTGAATGACTTGTACATGTATGAGAGTCATATTGAAGGCCTACCTCTGTATAGTGAAGTATAGAATGGAATGAAAGATTTTATGAGATACAATGTAGGAAATAGAAAATAAAGTAGAAATTAATGTAAAATGAATCCTTTCAGTCTGGTTACAGATTGCAGTCATGATGCAGCATATTCTGAATCGACTTGCATCAAGTAAGGTAAACCAAGGTGGAATAATGGAATAGCGGCCATCGACTGAATGACTTGTATGAGAATCATATTGAAGACCATTATATCCTACTGCCGTATACTGAAGTATAGAATGGAATGGAATGGAAGAATTTTATGAGATACAATGTAGGAAGTAGAAATTAATGTAAAATAAATGTAAAATAAATCATTTCAGGATGCTATCAGGTTGCAGTCATGATGCAGCACATGCTGCATCCACTTGCATCATCAACTTGTGTATTTTCACTCAGGTAGAATTTCAATACTTTCAGAGACATGTTGCAGCATCATGTATTAATGTGCATAAAGCTTATATACCATGATGGAATAATTGAACATCAAGTTAAACTCGAAGCATTCTTGGACTGACAGCTTTCAATGTGTATCATAGTTTTGAAGTGTAAAAGCCTAGTATAATGGTGACAGACTGACAGTCATGTTGCATCAAGTGTTTGCATAGTTGCAGCATATATAGGATTGGAACATACATGTAGCCTACTGTAGGCCTATTATGTTATCTTGCAACACACTTACACTCTGACCTGCATACATACATGTACTACACCTACGCAATTGATGGAAGAACATTCAGTTATTCCATAGACCTCGGTGTGACTAGGTGTGTCTACAGTACTTCAAGCAATACTGTATATAGCAAGTTAGCAACATCTTGCAAAAATATCACACAAATTGTGAACTATAGTCTGAACAGGGAGCATGCAATCATTTATTTCCATCAGGCAAGCTATATAATACCACATGTATCTCAATTATGTAGGCCTTTGATGGTTAGAGGTACGTCAGTCTCCCCCACACCTCACCACCACCCTTCCCATCTCCTCTGGTCCCCCCCCCCCCTCCTCTCCCCTGCTGTCCTATTAGTATTATTCACATCTTCCTTACCGGCCCGCCCCTTCATTCCCACCTCCTCTGCCCTGCCCCCTCCCTCTTCTTCTTCTGTTGAGGTACATGCCACCATGTTGTTGTGTATCTTCATACTTATGAAGTTGTGCAGATATACATAATTTATGTACTGGGGTAGGCCTACAGTGCTGTGGAAGATCTAATCTACATGTACATGTACAGTATGTCCAACGCTCCTTCCCGTGCAATTTAAAGCACAATTAGCGCATTGATGTTTTTCTCTGAAGATGAAATGCGCTATATTACAAGTAACAAGCCATGTGAAAAACCAAAACAAAACGGCCTAAAAACCCTCCATCCGGCAGGCGGAGGGCGATGACTTGTCCAAATAAAGAAAAAAATATATACATTACATGTATATATATATATATATATATTGGCTATATTACAAGCCAAGGTAGTTGTTGTATTATTATTATTATGCAGCTTTCCCACACGTACCTCCATTGAAGCCCCCCCCCCCCCCTGCCTTCATAATGCTCTCTCATCATATCAAACACAAAATTGGTTGAAAAGGCAATTAACTTGATTAATTGCTTTTTAATTGCTTTTAGAGCTCTACGCTCTAGCCTCTAACTAAGTGTAGAAAATGTACATACAGTAATCAAGAGACAGAACACAAAATTGAACAGCAAAATCAATAATATGATTACGAATTATTTTTTAAATTACTGGATGGTGTTGGTGATATGAAAAATGATAAGTGCCCATATCTGCCAACATTTCAAATTGAAAGTCTATTTTTAACATTCTTTCAAACATATGTTTTCAGAAAATGTGAAAATGTAGGGAATAGGATTTATTACTTTGTACATGTATACCACTAGTTTGAAAGCAGAAATTAGGAATCATTCCTCCAAAATAGGAATGGTTAGCAGATATGAGTGCCCAATATCTAGGATCATGATAATGAAGAGAAATAATTCCTTGCTAGTAGAATTAGGCCCTAGATCTATTGGAAAATATTTTGAATGATATTACATGTATGAAAAGGTGAAAAATAAGAAAGAGGGCACAAAGAGGAGAAATAACACATAGAGGAAAAACAAAAGAAGACATTGCGAGGGGTAAAGAGAGTGAGAAAAGAACAGAGAGAGAATAAGATGTCAAGACAAGTTAGGCCAACCAACAATCAATGTTTATTTCTCCTGGCCAGGCCATCCACCCAAGCTCAGCCGGGAGCTCTCGAGCCAGGCCATGCATTGACTGCCAGTAATCTGGCGATTCGAATTACCAATGCGAGCATACCGTACCCACACACACCACTTTCTGCAATAATGTACCCGCATCTCCATTTCTATCACTTATCAGTAGAAATATGAAATGATATTCAAAACGTTAGGAATATTTCAAATGCAGTCAAAAATGGAATAATACTTACAATTCAAACACAGATGGGAAAGTAAAACTATGTACTCCTTTATTATAGATCCAATCTAAGACTCAGGGAACATGCGTTGATGATATCCTGTATAAAATATCCTGTAAATTCCATTCAAATCTGTATTGGATGTGCGGTGAAGGAACGGTTAGGCTCTAGCAAGTGCATGCTACAAAATGTTGTCTGCTAGTAACTGTGTGTGTCGGCAATGCAATGACAATGCTCATAATTTCCTATACATGAAACCTGCATGCAAGGTGTATGCAGGGCTCACCTCCCTGGTGTATGCATGCATTGAACGTTGTGTGTATGACTCGTGTTGCTGTAAAGCTATCTTAGCCAATCGGAGCCTCGGGTTGGATGTGGTGGGTGTGGTTTCTATTTTGCCGGAGAGCACACGGGCGAATGAGATTACAGAATGATTGACATTTCGGTAGGTGTGTTGTTCGCTCGCTTTACAAAATCTAGAGCATTTCTATTCTTTTCTCTCTTTTTTTCTTGCGTTACGCTTTTTTTCATGATGAATACTGTTCGTTTGCAGTTGTTCATTCATTGTACCTCAAACACGCCGTGAATAATAGATGTAGAGGAATGGGAAGAAAGAGAGAAGTAGAATAAAGGGAGAATAGAATTTAGAGTAGGAATAGGATGTTCTGCTTGGCTGACGGCTTCTTGTAAAATTTTCTTGAGAATAGAAAGCTTCCGGGATATGAACAGCGCATCTCTTTTTTTCATTATGTTTTATATAGACCCGTTCTCACCACTCTTTGGCTAAAAAGGGAATTGGATAAAATAATAAGTCGTACAGATTGAATTAATAACCTTTGCCATCTGTGAACAAATCATTTCATTCAAAGGCATATTATGAAAAAATGAAAAACGTCCCGGCTTAGTTGTTTGGCCAATTAATTACCTTATTTGCCTGTTTCAGCCCTATTAAAGGACAGGAAATTTCCCCCTATTTATCGAAGAGCGGGGTGCCTAATTGCACCACATACTAGCAACAATAGTTTCTCCGTTTCAGGCAGTTGATATCAGTTCGAGTGACTGACTAAACTTGAAAGAAACTTGTTGGGCATCAAAGAAGTTACCGGCTGTGTCCTTTCACGCCTATGGAGGCCAGGGCATGGTGTCTTAACAACAATGCAAGCACGCGGGACTATTGGCATACCCAGGTCAGGGTTATATACAGTGCACTTCCAAGTTTAGGTCACTCAATTGCGTCTGAAGTTCAAACACGAAAATATAAAGAAATATATTCGTATGTCTAAATATAGATACCTTTTATCTGAACTTCAAGATCATTTGCAGCCGTATGTTTATTATCACTATCGTTATTATTGTTATTATCACTAAAGTATAATTATTATTATTTTATTCATTTATTTTTTATTATTATTATTACTATTACTGTTATTAATATCATAATCATTAGTTTCATTATTATTATTATCATTATTTATTGTTATTTATTATTAAGATCATTTTTATCATCATATTTAACAACACACTACAATCCTCAAACAGGGGCGTTCAACTATAGGGTGCAGAGGGCAGTTTCCCCTCCCCCCCCCCCCCCCCAATACTTTGAAATCAACCGTAGGCTTATTATATTATAGTATATCATGATCATAATTATCCCTTCCCATTCCTAAAGATGGACAGATTTTCCTGATATTCCATGAATTAAAAATAATAAGCATGTATTCATGGAGCAAAGCAAAGGGAAAAGGGCAATGCAAAATCAATGATAAAACCAAACCAGATGACTCTACCTCAATGTGGCTAACTTGATTAGTGTATTGGGTGTACAGTGCTTGGCTCACCAGACAGCTTCCCAAATCCATTCAACGCGTGATAATAAAATGAGCTTGCGAGATAATCGCCTTGATCAATAAGTTCAAGTTCAAAAGTTCAAAGTATAACTCTCTGTTTACTAAAACAAACACACTAAACAAACTGATTACTGACAGACATTATTTGAATCCATTTAAGGGGCCATGAAATCTCAACCATGCTACTTTGTGTCTTTGGATATCATATTTTTTGTGTGGATGTATCTTCAAACAATCAAACATTAATTAATTCGACACTAACAGACAAAAGTTTTTCAGTCCATACGAGTTAGCGATTTTTTTTTCTCATAATTCTTAAAATCATAGATGTAAATCGAGTGTAATAATATTTCTCATCGCTGAAAATTAATCAATTCATCATCTCATGATCTCAAAATCAATATTAATTTTGAAGTTATATAAAGGAGGCCTATGATAACTTGTGATAACAAATACAAAAGCTTTCACCATTATAATAAATCAATTTCTGTTTGACTTGGATTAAAAGGTGTTATCCAATTCATTGATAAAACTTATCGCTGATGATTCTTTTCCTGGACTTTACATTGGTATGTCCGGGGATGGTTTATAATCATTTTTTTTTATATGCCAATGTTGGTGTCTGATACCAGATAATGCCTGTATAGTACGTCGATGTGGCTATAGTAAAGAACTTCAATTACCAAACGTATTAAAGAGATGAAACTATAGGAGAAGATGGTACTTGAGATGAAGAGTTTAATTGCCAGTATACCTTTAATAATAAAATGTATATATTTATTCATATGAAGCATAATAGGATGCATGTATAGATTGCAAATTTTCTTGAGGGAAAATGGAAATTTCCCGTATGTTTTACTATATACAGAGCAATTGAGAAGGGACATCGCAAGATATGTCACATCATTGCCAATTTAATATGCAACTTAAATCAGTGTGGACTTCATTAACGGTTTCTTCTCTACCCTAAAGATAATTAACGAGTTTTCCATGCAGTACGTGCATGGAATGAATATAGACTTATACACGGCATTCAAAACGGTCTCTGTTAATTCGTTATATCTTTATAATAACCCAGACACGCGTGACGTCGACTAGGCGATGCATGGAACAGACAGATCATCACGATAATAATTATGTTTAATACCAAACGGAAACAAAGCTTTTAAGATCCACCCCCCCCCCCCCCCGAGAGTTTCCCAGACTCCACGTCAGCTAAAACAACGTAATATCGGCATGTATGTAAGTTATGTTCATTCAAAATCATATTGACTTTATTAGTCATGATTTTCGTCTCTGTGAGGGTCGTACCAACACAGACCTCGTTATATTTACTTATGACACCCAAGTATTTCATCTCCAGGGCACCGGTTCTATTCATATACATCTATTTCCAATCGAACATGTTTTGTTAGACTTGTGAGATCCACTTAACCAATTTTTGGCTTCAAGTTCGGCAGGGTCTGTTAACATCGTTTGAATAGCAATCATAATTAATAATATAGGGGAAGATAATAACTGCAGTTCTGTGTAATAATAATAATGATTATAGGCATTTCTATTGCGCCTTCTATCTAGAAATTGATATCAGTATCATCATGTTATTGTATAGAACACTGATGTTATTGGGTATTATGAAGGCCTATGTGGTTACACTTTTTTTAAAGCGTTGAACGTCATAAACTCATAATTATGACGAAACTTCTGCAGTAATGCCATTGTGTTGCTAATGATTTTTTTCTTCTCCATATCTTTTTTTCCTCTCTCTCTTTTGTTCATGGGAATGTGGTTTTCTCACGAGTCCCTAGCTATTTTGTGTGATATAATTTTCGGCGTCCTCATACTGCTCACGTCCGATGCAATAGAAACAGGAGCTTGGGTCCATCTCCATTGGCAGTGGTGGCGGCAAAGCATTATTCTAAAGCATCAAATCAGATTAAAAAGTTTATAGAAAAATCCTTCCACAAAACATGGCAAAACATAAAGGAAATATATCTCTCGGAGCTGACGTGCATGAGGACACACCGTAGTCATATAATGGGGAAGCCTTCCTCCTCGTCGCCTCGACCCCCACCACCCCCCCCCCCCCCCCATAAACACCCTTGATTATGTTCACAATTATTCATTTAGGATATTGTGTGAGATATACTTAAACATGTTGTTAGTAAATATCGGATAGAGATATGACTATCGGAACATTCTCGGTGTACTACATGGATAGCAACCTGTATAGCTGTCGAACCCCTATAGGTCCAAAAACACCTGGCCTTTTTTTTTTAGCGTCGTAACGGAACTTCACAGCCCTGCATGAAACCAAAATGCAGAAAACAAGCTCCCAATCGCATGCCATGTCAGAGTGTTATGGGAAAAAAAGAGATATCGAAGAAGTTTTATTGGTAGATTGGATGATAAAGATGTCTTTTGCCACCCTGGTATAGAAGTGTCGAAGTGTTGAAACTATATAAGAAAAAGATATACCACCATCGGCACTATGACCACAGGGGCAGTCGAAAAATCAGCACGTTTTGTTTGGCTCATTGGACTCTGTCACGGTCAATGCATATTGTCTCCAGTTTATATCTCGACTGGATATCATAAGAGTATGGCTCTTCGGGGAACCGAACTTGTCTGTTTTGTAAGTGGAGTTGATTATCACACCTTCATTCAACCCGGGGAGGGGTCAGGTAAGCACACCCATCGACAGGTGGTATCTAGTCTCCAAACTCAGACTCTCGCTGTTCAGAAACAATAGTGGCGTATCCATTACACAGGGTGAATTCGAGCCCCACCACCCCACCCCCTATTTTGCTCGACAAGAAAATGATTCAATTCAATGCTTCCAATTAAATAATATTGGTAATTCCGATTTTTAGGGGGCTCCCCCCCCCCCCCCCCCCCCCAATGTTCATCTATGTGAAGATACTTTGAGAGGTGTTTTGCTTTTAAGAGTAGGTTCTGGTAACAGGTCCAGTCTGCCTATATGGTCTATTTTATAAAGTGTTTACTGATTAAAAATAACTGGTATTCTTGGAAACTCCATCTTTAAATACATGTGTGTGTCCTTCTTCCGAAAGTTCATATCAAACCAGCCACAATCACTTCTTTCTATATTGGTAACTTATCCGCGACGGGGGCACTTGTTTATCATTCGGAAATCATTGTTGCCCTCTACATCAGCTCAATTAAAACGATTTAGTTGAGTAGACATAATTATTTTACTGAACAATAATTCCAGGGTAGCATCCAGTGTGTTCTTGTAGACTAGCCTAGCCGAGCCTAGACAGATTCGGTACCAATTGTTTTGGTTCCCACGAGTGCTACTGTGATGATAATTTCATTTCCAAGATGATATTACACTCTGTTGATGTGAGCGTGTTACGCGA